TGTGCAACGTGCACTCACAGTTGAAGAATCAGTTCCAGGCAAAATCAGTTTTCCTTGCTGTACTGGGCTAAATATTGTCCCCTCAAACTTCATGTCTACCCATAATCTCAGAATGTGATCTTATCTGGCAACAGGGTCTTTGAAAATGTAATTAATTAAGATGAAGTCATATTGAATTAAGGTGGGCCCTAAATCCAATGAGTGGTATCCTTTTAAAAAGGCCATGTAAAGACAAGAGTCTCACACATACAGAGGAAAACTCCATGTGAAGATGGAGACACAGATTGGAGTAATGCACTTATAAGCCCAGGAATGCTGAGGATTGTAGGTGACTCCAGAAGCTGAAAGAGGCTAGAAAGGATTCTTCCCTGGGGCCTTGGAAGGGAGCATAGCCCTACTGGCATTTTGACTTGGGACTTCTAGCCTCCAGAATATGAGGGAATAATTTGTTATTTTAAGCCACCCAGTTTACAGTACTTTGTTACAGCAGCTTTAGCATACTAATACACATACCAAATTGTATTGTACTAAAATTGATCTGTATATTTCATATACAGACCATCTCTGCACCAGTGCTTTTAATTTCTGAAAGTAGACATATCAGAACAAGCTGGGCCAAGCTCAGCTCCTCCTCAAGCCTCTTTATTTCTTTCTACAAAATGAGCGGCAGTATATGTGTGCCAGGAGGAACTGGTTGGGTAGGAAATATTTAGAGATTCTGAATCTATTTCTAACTACAGATTACACTAGATGTGTTTTACTAGAATTCAAATCAGAAAGTTTCCTCCTTTCAGTGGAACCACAGTATTTCTTCTTTTGTTTCCTGTAAATTCTTTCAACATGACAGTTGTTTTGTTTCCTCTAAACAAATGCTAATAATGTTTCTTTGAATTCTGAGCTTGTTACTATTTTAAACACATGGCTAGAAAAAAAAAATACTTGATGATCTTTAGTCTTCTGTAGAAACTTAATTCTGTTTCTTGCCAGCTTAAAAAGTATGGCTTTGCCCTGGCTGCTGGCTCAATTGGTTGGAGCATTGTTCTGTACACTGAAGGATTGAAGGTTGATTCCCAGTCAGGGCACACATCTAGGTTGTGGGTTTGATCTCTGGTCTACGTATGTATGGGAGATCAATCAATGTTTCTCTCTCTCTCCCCCCCCTTCCCCTCTCTGTAAAAATCAATAAACATATTCTCAAGTGACGATTTAAAAAGTTATGGCCTTGAATTTAGCTATTTAGAGTGTTACTGAATCAACAGGAATTATTTAAATATAATAAAGATATTTAATAAATTGGTTCAGTGGGATTAAGTAACAGTCAATCCATAGTCCACAAAACTATGCCACTAGATGTCACTACTTAGAATCCTTAAAAAGGAACCAATGCTGATTTTGTAAAACAAAACAATCCAAATCCAAGTATGGGATATGGAGCATTAGAAGGAAGAATAATGAATAGTCAAAGTTTGAAAAGCTTCTCAACAGTTGGTCATACCATGTTCCTTTTTGGGGGGGCATACCATAGCATTTAAGTATTAAATAATATCTTAATGGTTAGATTTCTTTATGTGGCAACCAGTTGAATACTTCATTGATTATATTATTGAAATGTAGACTCTTAGCTTTGAAACAAGAGCTTACTGAACTGTATTTATGGGATGAAGAACATGAGGGCATATTCTCATGATGGTCTATGTCATTCATGATGATTAAGCTTTCGTTGAAGGACAGCTCGGTTTGCATCTTCAGAACCAAATGCATCACGGCACTGCCCACGTCCAGCCTTAGAGTCAGTCATTTCAGGAGGTGACTGGGGTTCACGTGTAGCACTTGTCTGCCAAATTCTGCAGACATGGCATGTTTTTGCTGAGTAGAGGTCATCTTTAGCCCACCAGTTCCTTTCCAAATCGAGGTGCATTGATAAGGCAGATGCTGATACTATAGACACACCTTTAAGTTTATAATTTATAAGCACCCAAAAGAAGTTTAAGTATGTTTTTTCCTACTAAAGTCTGAGTCTCTTCTGAATTTGTAAGAATGTCCATTCAAGAATGCAGCTGTTACCCAAAATAAATGTTTTTAGTAAGGTCTGAGAAGTTAGCATTGGGCAATAACTGGTGGCCTGGCTCAGCTCCAAAGTTCAGTCTGTTCCTAACCTTCTGCTCCTCTTTGTAAAAACTAGCAATGTTCTTGCATTTCCCCTGAAGTCTCAAGCTTGGGGTGCTCAGATACCTTGTTATATTAGTGAGAAAAGCACAACTTCGAAAACTGATTTGGGCTTCTCTGAGCCTTTAATTGACAAAAAGTCCTTGATCTAAAGGTCAGTAAATCTGCCCTGGCTTGTGTGGCTCAGTGGACTGGTCTGAGAACCAAAGGGTCGCTGATTTGATTCCCAGTCAGGGCACATGCATTGGCTGTGAGCCAGGTTGTGCCCCCCAGCAGGGGGCACCCGAGAGGCAACCAGATGTTGATGTTTTTCTCCTCCCCTTCCCCCCTCTCTAAAAATAAATAAATAAATAAATATTTTAAAAAGGTCAGTAAATCTCAGTAAAGACCTCGCCACTGACTACACTGAAATAAACCAAATCTCCACACTCTGCTGCAGCTTCTTTCATATATCCAACATACTAGTTCTAGTAAAGGATATGACTTCTGTGGGAAATTCACAATTGTGAAATCTTTTTGCATCATATGAAGCAATTATAGAGAATAACATATTTAAATAGCCAATGAATAGAGGTCAAACTATAATTTAAACAACACACATAATAATGATGACCATGATGATGACAGTGGTGGTGGTGGTGGTGGAGGAAGAGGAGGAGGTGGTAGTGGAGGAGTGGTACTGGGAGCGAGTCACAAAATAGAATGAATTTTAGGGATTTTGGTGCCCAAAGAAAGTAATAGTTATTTGAAATAGACTTAATCTGAAATGTTTCCAAGTCACTTGAGATAAATTACACTAAAGAGAAGAACGATTTCCTTATCTTCTTGGGCACATTTTTAGCTTTATTGAGATATAATTAACAAATAAGGTTGTAACATATTTAAAGATCACAACATGGTGATTTGATAAATGTCTACATAGTGAAAAGATTCCCACAATCAGGTTAATTAACACATCCATCACCTTACACATTTATCTTTTTTTGTGAGAACACTTAAGTTCTACTCTCAGCAAATTTTAATTACACAATACAATGTTATCAACTATAGTCACCATGTTACACATTAGATCCTCAGACCTTATTCATTATAACTGAAAGTTTGTACCTTTTTATTAGCCTCTCTCCATTTCCCCCACCCCTAGCCAGGGGCAACTATCATTCTGATCTGTTTCCATGAGTTCAATTTTTTTTTGAAGATTCCACATATAAGTAATACCATGCAATATTGGTCTTTCTCTGCCTGGCTTATTTCAGTAACAACATTTTAAAACTATGTTTCTCAGCTTTCTTGCAGCTACATAGGCATGTAACTAGTTCCAATGAAATATGAGCAAGAGTGATAAACAGCCCTTTCCAACCTCGACCCTGCAAAATTTTTCATTTTCTTTTACCTGCTGGCTGGATGCAAATGATACAGTGGAAGATTCCAAAGTGCTGGGGGAGGGCAGAACCACATAGTGGAGGAAAACCTGGATCCCTAAATGACTACATGGAAGAGTAGCCCTCCCAATCTACTTGTTTTAGGCTGTGATGTAAGAAATAAAATATTAAAAAGCCAAACTAATTTTTAAAATTTGGTAATTAATTCGATTTGACCACATTTATGGAAAGAAGTCACTGTTAGATACCTATGTTTACATTTACTATGAAGTTGAAACATAATGTAACACTCTTAGCTTAGCTTTTCCCAAACTAGTCCTCATCTATTTGACAGGATTGTGAATAAAAGTTCTACATCTAAATTAGTTTTAGAAATGCTTTTTTTTTTAGTTTTGTACTATGCTCTTTATTTTTTAATTGTTTTCCAGTTACAGTTGTCCTGCCTTTTCCCCAATGCTCTCCCCTGCCCCATTCCCCTGTCCCTGCCCCCACAGTCAATTCCCAAACGTTAATCACATTTCTTTGCTATAGGATATCTCAGAGGTGTTAATATACTAACATCCATTGTAAATCTGTACAAAGGGAATAAAGAATGTAGTATTCCCCAAACTTAATTAGTCAGTAAGTTTAGGATCTGCACCCCCCTCATGGAAACACTCATTACTGTCTCCCAGAGCAATGTTCTGGAAAATATATTCTAAAACATTTTGCTTTAGTTGAATTTGCCTCATATGGTGGACTGATCAGAGTTGGCACCAAAAGTTCTAGGCACTCCAAAGCAAATATTGTTCTCTTATTAAGGGAAGGTTTTTCTTGTAAAAATGAAACCCTAATACATACTAGTACACTAACATGTACTAAGGAAGTTTTCACCACTGAAGTGAAGCAAGTTCTCTAAGAAAGGCATTTTACTAAAATGTGACTGAAATGAAGGCAGATGTGAACTGTCAGCTTCTGATTTTCTTTGTATCTCAATCTGCTGTTAATGGAGCCTGTCATATTTAATAATGAAGTATATTCTTATGTTTTAAGAAGAAACTGAATCTATGAAAATTGGCCATATTAAATGTGAAATGTGTGATATAGTCCATTACACAATATCTCACTTGCTTTTCTCTCTCCTATACTCATGCTCGAGGTGCAATGTTTTAAAACAATGTTTAAAGCAATAAAAACTAACCATAGCTAATATCCATGGATTCTTCTAATAGAAATACACACACACACACAATTTTTTTCACCATGACTTGTTAACACAGGCTACATTGCATTGTGCTTTATATGATACAGAATTTTATTTTAGTTATGAATCTGTGATGGATGATTTCCTGCATTTCTCACAGACTTAAGGCAACTGAAAAAGAACTGTTATGATGGACACCAAGAAATTAATGTAAAGGAAAATGATATGCTAAATATTTACCACCAAAAATAATAAAAAGAAAGACTTACATCTAGTAGTGTGTGAAGATGCTGATCCTGGAAAACACTGTGTAGAAAATCTAAGTCCTTTTCACTGCAGTCTGTAAGTGCGTGAATTTCTTCCAGGCTGTCCAGTACCTGTGAGACTGCTCCTAAGGGGAACAAACAGAAAACAAATAGCCAGTACAGAAGGTCAATGTCAGACCAACCTTTGTAATCTAAATCTTGCATTTCAGAACAATGGGCTAACAAACAGAACTTCAAAGGTTAGTGTCCTTCGTGGAGGGCAGACTTAAATGAAATTTCATATCTTTAAGGATTGAGTATTCTCAGTGAATTTGTTTTAACAATGTCACGTATGATCTTCATTTTTTCAAAGCAAATTGGGGTTTGTCTTACTCTAATTAAGGAAATTCATCAACTATAATTGAGCTACTAGAAAAGATCCCAGTGTAGCAAGTTATACATCAGATGAATTTGGGTCCCACGACCCCAGGATGTTTTGGATATAACACAGGTGAACCTTTCATATAGGTGCATTCCATCAAAAACTGAAGGTAAAGCCAGCTGTAGAACTGAGGGACAAACACCTTCAACTGGAAGCACTGGGAGCTCCTGCAGTGTAAAATAGGCCTCTTTGGATTTTTAAGGTTCAAACTTAACAAAAACCCCAATCTAGTCTATTTCTTCCCTTCACATACAAAGTCAAGAGAACCAAGTTGTTCTCAGTCTGTTGGGCCCTTTTTATACAGAAGACAAAGACAAAAGGTAAAGTATACTGACTGACACTTCCAAATACCATATTAAATACTAGGGCAAATCATTTTTGCAGGGCAAAACAAATGGTAGTGTGGTCACTTTCTTTAAATTTCCTCTTATAAGCAAGGAATCCTGAGAGCTATCAGCAGGGAAAGATTTATACTGACTAGTGACAAAGTCACTTACACAGCCTTAAAGAAATGATTAGCTTATTGTACTCTGCAGACAACACCTACATACATACTTCAGAGAAAGAAAAGAACCTTGAGAGGAGAGGCCTCAGAATATTAGTGTCCATGATGTTAGGTAGCTTGTAATAAGTGCCTTGTTGTCTTGGATCAGTAGTTTTCAGACAGTGGCAATTTGCCCCAGGCGGACATTCCACAATGGCTGGAGTCATTTTCATTTGTTACAACTGCGGTGGTGGGTGGTGGGGAAACAGGTTGTGCTACCGTCATCTAGTGGGTAGAGGTCTGGGGTGCTATTAAGCATCCTACAATGCCCAGGGCAGTCCCCTTCCCCTCAAAAGAATTATATAGCCCCAAATGTCAATAGTGCTGAGGTTGATAAACTTTGCTTTAGATCAGGGGTCCCCAACCCCCCAGGCTGTGGACCCATACTGGAACTGGGCTGCACAGCAGGAGGTGAGCAGCAGGGAGCTAGTGAAGCTTTGTTTGCACCTGTTTCACCAAACCCTCCCCCTGGTCCATGGAAAAATTGTCTTCCAAGAAACTGGTCCCTGGTGCCAAAAAGGTTGGGGACCACTGCTTTGGATAAAGATAAAAATCTTGAATCTTTCTGTTCTGGAACTCTATGCTGTTTCAAATTACTTCTTGTCTTGGACTTCATCCATTTGCATGCACTTATTGGTAAGAATGTAAATGGTTACCACTTTTCCAGAAAACAATCTGGTAACACAGAACAAAGATCCTTAATAAAAGGGCTCATGCACTTTGATTCAATAATTACATTTACAAAAATCTACCTTAAGGAAAAACAGGAAATATAGAAAAATGTTTATGTCTAAGGATGCTTATCATACAAAATGGAAAAAATCTAATAACTAGAGAATGATTACATAAATTATAGAACACTCATAAATGGACTATGTGGCCAAATGAAAATTACTTTTAAAGAATTTTAAAAACAGAGAAATCCTCATAACATAGAATTCAAGAAAGTAGAATACAAAACCACAGAAACTGTATATTTCCAATTATGACAGAAAAAAAAATACAAACTCAGAAAAAAACCCCAGAATGAAATACAGCAAAAAGGTAACAGTAGTTATTTTTATATTCCTAGTTATACTTTATTCTGTTCCTGTTCATATGTTCCAAGTTTTCTATACTAGAAAAAAAGTTGCTATATAAGCAACTGCTTTTTTTGTTTTGCAGTAGTATTTAATTACATTAAGTATTTAAGGCTTAAGCCATAAATCAAGTGATTGTCCATATGGAAACCTAATTATTATTTTCACTTAGTTATTTTAGTGAAATATTATCTACTTTTTATTTTTGCCAGCATTGCTTATGCTGATACATAATCTAGGTGGACGTTTATTAATACTATAAGATTTAAATAGTATCTAGTGAATACTAAGTCCGCAAGTGTAACTGCTGGGAAGCAATTTTGGCTGTGAAGTGCCAAAGCTCTGTGCAATTCTTGTCCCACCAGCACACAGCATGGGTGACCCTACGTGTGCACTTGTTCACTCTTCTTTTCTGTGCTGTGAGGTCCTTAAGGCAGGTCTAGATTTGACTCACTTTATAACACCCACAAGGTATCTACTGAACTAATGTAGTACTAAAGAAACATCATAATAGTAGCTCCCAATTCTTGAGTATTTATTACGTGCCAGATACATCCTCAAGAAAATGCAGTAGGTAGATATATTACTGGACCTCTCTAGATAGGGAACTGAGGTTCTGAGAGACCAAGGAAGGTCACAGCTAGAAGTGGTGGAGCTAGGATTCAGCTCTGCTTTGTCTTGCTCCTAAGTCTGTGCCCTACCTGAGCTACCACACTAATTGGCCCTAGCAGGAAAATCAGGGGAACCTTCAACACAAAGCTGCATGTGGTTTATGGATAGGGAGGCTAAAAAAGAACTTAAACCCTATTGGGTCAGACAATAACCCAAACCTTTATTGAACTGTTCCTGCTTTTTGCCAGGTGCTAGGCAGTAGCTTCAGAGAAAACAGGTGTAATTCCTGGCCTCAAGAAAGGAATTCTCAGGCTACTGTGTGAAGTAGTCACCCCATATTATACCCTGAAGTAAATGGGCACAGAAATAGTCCGTGTGTGTGGGGGGGGGAAGCCTCAGAGAGGAGTTGGGTGAGCAGGAGGAATTAGAGTCTCCACCTAGAGTCTAATCTGCTTTTAGGGGCCCAGTGGATGCTTTGCTGGAAAGCATAAAGGCATCTGTTAGTCTGTTTCCAGTAGACAAGACCCACTAGGTCAACAAATCTATTTAACCACCTTAAATCTGCTTCTTTTTCTGAACTGATTTTAGTCTTATCTTGTACCCTAATGTGAAACTTTGTGAATTTTCAATCATGAAAGGAAGCATTTCTATAGCTGTATTCAAGTTGCCTATTTCAAACTCTGAAAAGTACCCCTAATTTTAAATTTTTGTAATTTGGTAGGAAAATTCATTTGTATTCCACTTCTCCATTGTTGTTTCAGATTGAATAAATGCCATTTTTAGTCTAACCTCAAAATCTTTCGTCACTCTTGGTCATTTTAACAACTTCCATGGACACCTTTTGTAATTCTGTTATTTCTTTCTTTGGGTATAACCAAGCAGAACCACAGACACATTTTTAGTAAGACAGATGTATATAACTGATATCTGTAGTTGAATACCAAGCCCATCTAAAACTCCCATAATTTTTCAATTCATTATAAAACATAAATGTACACAAACACATTTTTGGGGCTTTTCCACTGTTATTTGTTTAAAACTGAGGCAGTATCAATAATACAACACAACATACACAGGCTCTTAAGCTGCTACTAAGTATTTATTTTGTTGATCAATACTGTCAAATCTGAAAAAACTATTCACTTTTCTTAAAAATTGAAAAGGATGTTTTTATATCAGACCTCTGTATAAACTTGTAACTACCTTGGAAAAAGTCAATAAATAAACAGAACATGAGTTCACCCCTCTAACTAATGGCAGGACTGTAGGTATCCTATTCACATCTGTATTCTAGGGTGTACTTGCAGAGTGTATTGTACAAAAAGACACAACAAATGTATTCAATTAAAATTAGTTTTTCTGAGCAAATCCTGAAGACTTGAAAATAAGTACTATAACAAAATCACAGAAAACAGTTAATTTTAAAAACTCACAGACACAGACAACACTATGGTGATTACCAGAAGGAAAGGGGGTAGGGGGAGGTAGAAGAGGGTATCGGGGGGATAAATGGTGATGGAAGGGGACTTGCCTTGGGGTGGCAAACACACAATACAGTATATAGGTGATGTATTATAGAATTATACACCTGAAACCTATGTAATTTTATTAACCAATGTCACCTCAATACAATCAATAAAAATTAAAAAGAAAAGAAAATTATTTTAATACTTATATTTGTATGATAGTTCATAATTTCCAAAGTGCTTTTATACTCATTAGTTATGTGATTCCACAATGACCCTGTCCTGTAGGCAAATATTTTTACATTTGAAAAATCTGCTTACTAGGGTATAATTAAGTTAAAATTCCCCAATTTATGTGTACACTTTCATCACTCCAAAAAAAAAATTCCCTCTTGTCCTTTGTGGCCAATTTCTCCCTCCTAACCCTCTGAGAATAGCTTTTATTCTCACTATACAGAGCAAATTCTGGTTATCAAGTAAGGTATAAGCAATAGTGAATCTTATAATGGAAATTACAGTTTGGATTTCAGCATCTGTGCTATATCCAATTCAACTTTTGAAAACTCACACATAATGACGATGATTTAGATTCTTTATGTATAGAATTTAGTAGAGATGCCTTGAAATTTATTGGTCAAAAGAAGCAAACTCTGCAAATGTGTTCTGTTGGAGTATAGATACTAAAATTCTAATGGCATTATGCTTGTTAGAATAGTCTATGTTTCTAAATAGCAACATCATTGGGTACAAATTTGTTAAAGTATTTTATTAAAATTTTTTTTGGTTTTGATATGGCCATTTATTTTTTATTTTTAAATTAAACTTATTGCTGTGACATTGGCTAATAAGATCATATAGGTTTCAAGTGCAGGTTTCTATGATACACCACCCAAAGTCAGATCATCTTCCATCACCACATATTTGACCCCCTTTACCCTTTACTACCCCCACCCCCTTCCCTCTGGTAACCACCATACTGTTGTCTGTGTCTATGGGTTTCACT